TATCACTGGGTGTCTCTGCCTGGATTTCTTCCCCCCAGCCTGAAGAGGGGCTGGGACAATGCTCACCCAGCTCCTCCTCCAGGTAGGTGATGTAGCGTCCGTTCTCCGTCAGAGCCTTGAACACCTCCAGCCGCTCGTGCAAGTCTTCATTGGAGGGATAATCCTTAATGACCTTAAAAAAATGGGCTCTGAGGATCCCCAGCCTCTCACCCTTGAAATGAAAAAAGGGAAAGGGTTAAGGCCTGGGCGTTATCAAGGTATAGCTCAGTAATCTTCAAGCTTTAAATTAGCTTTTCGTTGAATCAATGCCTACTCTCTTCATAAGCACCCACCCCTGCTTTCTCAGAACACTGAGAAGGACAACTTTGGGCTGATTCAGCCCCATGTTTGTGCAACACGTTGGGAAATCTGAAGAATTCCTTGTGTGCTGAACTTGGCCAGGCTAGAAGTGTCTCACACAGAACCCCTTGCATACCTGAGACATCAAAACCAGCTGCAAATGGGGACTAGAAGGTCTGGGCAAAGACCACATAAAATCTGCTGAATTATGCTGAACTTAACCCAAAGTATTTCCTCTTTCTCAAGAACGCTACCCCAGACCAGAACAGCTTTCTATGAGTTGTATGAAAAGTTTTGCTACGAGGTCAAACCAAGACTTCAAACTAAAACGCTTCCTCTTCTCCTTTACGAGACACAACCAAAATTACGAATATGAACCTTAGCAGAGAAGAGCTCCCTGGTGCTTTTCCCATGTCCCCCTTCACAAACCCAGTTTAGGTCAGTGTCCCCTGCCCCGTGGGGCTGTTGTCACCTGTCCCTGGACGATGGACTTGAGCAGGTGGAGCACGGCGTGCCTGGCCTCGGCGGGACGCTCCGGCTGCAGCATGTCAGCCACCACCTTCCACACGGCCTCCACGGCGTGCTGGGAGCAGAACAAACACCAAAACCAAAGCAAAAGCATGAGGCAGCAAAGCTCAGCTCCTCCAGGATCTCCAGCCAGCAGGTGACACAGAACTATGGCAATTGGTGGCTAAGATCCAGGGGTTCCACGTGCGGAGTTCTCTGCTCTGAGGGACGCTCACCCAGCTGGTCACACACCCAGACCAACCCCAGGAGACCCCAAATCCAGCCCTGCACCCCAGGAACTGCAATTCCTCATTCCACACTCACTGCTAGTGGGAATACTTGTGCAGAAGCCTTCACCCAGCCACAAGATGAGTTCAAAACCAACTGGGGGATGCTTATTAACAAGCCAGGATAAGGAAACCTCTCTAAACATCATCTCCCATGAGCTGTCCTGAGTATTCCCAGCATTCTCCTTCCAGGATGGTCCAGGAATCCCAAAGGGGATCCATCCCCTCTGCTGCAGAGCTGGAAGGCTGGGCAGACTAATTCCCTTTTACAGCACAAAGCAGCCTCTGGGATCACCCATTTTAATAAACCTCCTAAACAACAGGAGTCCCTTATGATAGTTTGAGAGCTGCTGCTTAAATTTCCATCTTTCCAATACTCACTGAACACTTTGGAACTCACCTCTTCAATTTTTTTGGTTTTTGCCACTTCACAAATTTGACTGATTGCTCGTATCCTGTTACTCAATCCACACTCTATGCTCAGTTCCTGGAAAGAAATGGAGAAATAAGCTAACAGTTTATCTTACCAGAAACACTTATCCATTTCTCCAAGGGGAGAAAGAATTCTGGTCTCCTTCTCCCTTTTTTTTTGTATTTTCCTCCTCATGTGCCAACTACTCTGCTTACAGACTTGTGGTACCAATTACTGGAATCAATTATTTTATTTTTCATTTCCACACAACCGTAAGGTTTTCATAAAACAGAAACAGTTCCCAGCTTGTGGAAACTGCCACCACAAAAACTTCATCAAGCTCAGACTACAAAAAAAACGAGGGGACAGGAAAATAGCCTGTAACCCAACATAACAAATATCTCCAAAGTATTCAAAGAGTGAATAACTCAAATGCTGGAGCTGCAAAGTGGGTGAGTTCTACATCCAGTTCACTACAGAATGAGTTGAGAGATCAGGAGAGGGAATGATGGAGAGGAACTGAGAGCCAAAAAAAAGCCAGGAAAGGAGCAAGGATCCCCTCAGCTGAGGTACCCCAGGCACCAGCCCCACCTTCACTCCACTCAGTTCTCACACCTTGAGTATTTCTGCAGTGATGATAAACTCTGTCTGCTTGCCCTCCGACGACTTGGAGCTTCCCCGGGATGTTCCCAGCCCCAGGAGGTTCCTGAACTTCTCCTTCAGCCCGGAATCCTTGCTCTGAGGCTTTGCCATTGCTGCCCAGCGCTGAGGCCCTGCAAACACAGAACAGGGCTCTGGTAAGGGAGGCCCCAGGGGAATATTTCAGCAGGAAAACCCCAATAACAGCATCACACCGGGGCTTTTCCAAAGAGCTTGGGTGTCTTGAGCCTTTCCAAACATGGGAGAAGCCCAACACCAGGAAACACAAGGAGCTTGTGCTGCTCCTGCCTTCAGCACCTGCATCCCCCATGGAACACGGGGCCTTTGGGATACCCTTTCCTGGGAGCCCTGAACGCCCAGGCCACCACACAGGCTGATTTTTGCAGTATGTCCACGTGCACACACTTTTTGGAGGGTGTGAGCTGGATGCTTGTTCCCAAAGCAAGGCCAACCACACCGCGCTGTGCTGTCGATGTGGAAGTGAGGAAGAACTCACAAACCTGAGTGCTGGAACATCCAAGTGCTGCCATGGCAAGGGAAAGATGGGGCAAGAACAGGGATGGCCATCACAACAACAACTCCAGGCACTGCCTCCCCCTGCCTGACCCACTGTCCCTTGGGGACCCTTGCCCTGGGCACGCAGGAGAGCCCCAGGGACATCCCATGGCCTTCCCACAGCCTGGCACAGCAATCCCTGCTGCTCCCAGGGATGCATCACACAGCCTGGTCCTGCATCCCAGGGAACATGCCAGACACCCTGGCCCAGTGTCACCAGGGACATGCCATGGACCCCAATCCAGTGCCACCAGGGGACATGCCATGCACCCTGGCCCAGTGCCACCAGGGGACACACCATGGACCCCAACCCAGTGTCACCAGGGGACATGCGGCTTGGAGCACTCTTCTAGATATTTTTGGGCACCATGAACCCCAGCCCAGTGCCACCAGGGAACACACCATGGACCCCAGCCCAGTGCCACCAGGGGACATGCCATGGACCCCAATCCAGTGCCACCAGGGAGCATGCCATGCACCCTGGCCCAGTGCCACCAGGGAACACACCATGGACCCCAGCCCAGTGCCACCAGGGAACACACCATAGACCCCAGCCCACCATCCCAGGGGACACGCCATGGACCCCAGCCCTCTGTCCCCGGGGACAAACCCACCGCCCAGCCCTGTGTCCCAGGGACACTCGGAGTGCACCGCCCTGGGGACCCCCGCAGCCCTGACCCACCCCGGCCGCTGGCACATTGTCCCCCCGCGACCCCCGAACAAGCCCGGACACGCCACATCCCGCCCCAAGCAGGGACATGCCACAGGCGCTTAGGGACACACAACGGGGGTCACAGCCCAAATCCCGAGAAACACAACGGGGGCACATTCCAGACCCCCAGACACAACGGGGGTCACAGCCCAAACCCCAACAAACACAACGGGGGTCGCATTCCAGACCCCCAAACACCACGGGGGGCACATGGCAGACCCCGAACACAACGGGTGTCACACTGCCGACCCCGACAAACACAACGGGGGTCACATTCCAGACCCCCAGACACAACGGGGGTCACAGCCCAAACCCCAACAAACACAACGGGGGTCGCATTCCAGACCCCCAAACACCACGGGGGGCACATGGCAGACCCCGAACACAACGGGTGTCACACTGCCGACCCCGACAAACACAACGGGGGTCACATTCCAGACCCCCAGACACAACGGGGGTCACAGCCCAAACCCCAACAAACACAACGGGGGTCGCATTCCAGACCCCCAAACACCACGGGGGGCACATGGCAGACCCCGAACACAACGGGTGTCACACTGCCGACCCCGACAAACACAACGGGGGTCACATTCCAGACCCCCAGACACAACGGGGATCACATCCCAAACCCCAACAAACACAACGGGGGTCACAGCCCAAACCCCGATAAACACAACGGGGGGCACATCCCAAACCCCGACAAACACAACGGGGGGCACACCCCAGACCCCCCAAACACCACGGGGGTCACACCCCAGACCCCCCGGACACAACGGGGGCACATTCCAGACCCCCAAACACCACGGGGGTCACAGCCCAGCCCCCCCGGACACGCAGCGGGGTCACAGCGCGGCCCCAAAGCGCGGCCCCTCCCCGGTGCCGGGTCCCCCGTCACTCACCCCGAGCCCGGCCCGGCCCGGTGCCGCCGCCCTAGGGAGTGGGGTACGGATAGGGAATGGGGTACGGGATAGGGGATGGGGTACGGATAGGGAATGGGGTACGGGATAGGGGATGGGGTACGGGCAGGGGATGGGGTACGGGATAGGGAATGGGGTACGGACAGGGGATGGGGTACAGGATGGGGATGAGGTACGGGACAGGGGATGGGGTACAGGTCAGAGGATGAGGATACAGGACAGGGGATGGAGAGTATGAAAGAGGGATCACGGCTTCCTGGGGTACGGGAAGAGGAGATCGAGGACACGGGGCGTGCGGGAGAGGGGGAATCGCTGGCACAGGAAGGGGGGATCAGGGCTGTGCTGGGCACGGGGAGCTGCTGGGGCTGCACCAGACCTCGGCATGGCTGGGGAGAGGGGCTGGGTGTCCTTGTCACATCCCCCTCGGAGCGAGCGATGTGGCTGTCCTGGGCTGGGGATGCACCTCCTGGGCCACACCTGTGTTTGGGACACGTGTCCCCATCGTGGGACCTGTGACCCCACTGTTGTCACCTGTTGCCACTTGTCTCGCAGGTGCTTCCGTCCCTGCTGGCTCTGCTTGGGGCCGGGGGCTGTGCAGTGTTTGGGTTGGGACTAAGGGCAGGGAACTCGCCCTGCTCAGGGTCCCCTGGGTGGCTGGTGGCACATGGGGCTGTCTTTCCTGAAGGCAGCTTTCCTGACGCCTGGAATCTGTGTGCCGTGCCGTGCAGGGAGCCAGATCCAGGGCACGCCCGGCGTGCCGAGGCAGAGCAGGAGGAGGAAGAGCCTGGCCATCGCCTACGAAGCGGGGCAGGGCGGAGGGGCCGAGCCCCGGCGGGCGCGCTGGGAGCCGCAGCTCTGGCGGGAGCAGCTGCAGCGCATCCGCCAGATGAGGAGCAGCAGGGATGCTCCCGTGGATGAGATGGGAGTGCACCGGTGCTACGACAGCAGCGCGCCTCCTGAGGTAACGGCATTCCCACAGGGAACGGCATTCCCACAGGGAGCAGCATCTATGGGTAACAGCATTCCCACAGGGAGCAGCATCTATGGGTAACAGCTTTCCCAAAGGGAACAGCATTCCCACAGGGAGCAGCATTCCCAAAGGGAACAGCATTCCCACAGGGAGCAGCATTCCCACAGGGAATAGCATCCACGGGTAACAGCATCCTGCTGCCAGCTCCAGCAGGCACGGGAAAACGCAGCCTCCCTCACCCTCCTGCTGCCCCTGGATCTGTCGCACTTGGGATGTTTCCAGGACAGAAACTGGATCAGGACTCTGGGCTGGGATTGGTCCCAGAGGATGTGATGAATGTGAAGGGCAGCGCTGCTTTATGGAGCAGGCTGGTAGGGTGTGAAGCCATATTCCTTTTTTTCCTTAAAAATCTCTGTAGGAGTCCAGGGAAAGTATCCAGCAAAGTGGCTGTGAAATGCAGAGGAATGTGGGGAGCACCCAGGGGCAGGCTTGGAGGAGCAGTGGGAGCCACTGGAGTGGGAATGTGGGGATCACAGAATCCCAGAATTGATTGGGTTGGAAGTGACTTTGGAGACCATCTAATTCAACCCCATGGACATGGAGCAGCAGGAGCCTCTGGAGTGGGAATGTGGGGACCATCCAGAGGAGCAGTGGGACGTGCTGGGCTCTGAGGGAGGGCTCTGGAGGACACAGCTGCACAGCCTTGGCACAGGGAATGCTGTCCTTGCTGCTGGATACTGCAGCTGTGGGGCCAGGGGACCACATGGAAATAGCTTCTCTTCCCTGGGGAAGCTGCGTTGTTGCTTCCCACAAGAAGTGGATGTTGTAATAACCTCAGCTCCTCACACCATTTCTTTGTACCCTGACATTATCCTGCTTCCACGCACGCAGGGATTTTTCCTAGTCCACCTGTGGTTTTGTAAACTTTGCAAGAGAGCTGGAGGGAGGATTGTGTCCCATGTTATTCCGGGTCATTTTGGGTTAATTGCATCATCCTACTCACTCTGGTGGGATGGAATCACATTTGGGAAGAAAGAATTGAGAAATAGGAGGTCATGGCCTGGATAAACCCTGCATGGCAGCAGCAGAGGAATTCCTGGGATTTGTCCTTCTCCCAGTCTCTGTCATCCCAGTGGTTCAGATTTGGTTCCCTGAGGAGCTCACTGGAGCCAGACACCCAGTTCCTGCTGAAGCCTAGTGGGAAAGGTTTGGGATTTTCAAAAGCTGCTTCGAGCAGACATTGCATGAAAAATCACTGGGTGTTTGTGCCTGTGTATCCTGTGGCTCTCCTGGGAATGCCCCCCTCAGGAAGGGCTTTGTCCAGCCCTTGTGGCTCAGCACTGGTGTCTTTGGAGCGAGATCCCAGCAGGCAGAGCTGCTCCCTGCCCTCTCACAGGTACTGACAGCTGAGCTTGAAGGTGCTTCTTTCTCCCTTTATTGTGTGGTGTAACTAAAAGGTTACGGATTATTCCCGTTGCAGCCTTCCAGTCTGTTGGAGGCGGATTGGGCAGAAGCGTGGGAGCACACCCTGCACTGAGGGTGGTGCCAGAGCTGCTGGATCCCCCCAGGGTGTCTCAGTGTCCCCTGTGTCCCCAGGTGATGCGCTACCAGGTGCTGCTGGCCCTGATGCTGTCCAGCCAGACCAAGGACCAGGTGACGAGCGCTGCCATGCTGCGCCTGCGCCGGCGCGGCCTCACCGTGGACAGCGTGCTGCAGATGGATGATGAGAGCCTGGGGCACATCATCTACCCCGTGGGCTTCTGGAGGGTGAGTGCAGGATGGCCACACGGACACACAGGAGCCCCCCATGCCTCCCTCTCTGCCCTGGAGTCAGGCTAGAAGCTGGGTTTTACACCAGTGTTGGCGCTTTGTGTTGCCAGCAGGATGAGGTTGTTGGCTGCAGGGCCTGCAGTGTGCAGGGAGGTTGGAGCTCCCAGCTCTGAGCGTTTGGATTTCATGTAGAAGTCAAGGCTCTGTCTCCTCCACAGCTCCCATGTGTGGCCTCACCTATAACACACAGGAATGGTTGGTTTTCTGGACTGTGTGTCTGTTTTCCCTGTGCTGGAGGGCAGCTTGGACTGTGTGCCTTCCCCCTTGGTTTTCCAGAACAAGGTGAAGTACATCAAGCAGACCACGGCCATCCTGAAGCAGAAGTACGGGGGGGACATCCCGAGCACTGTGGAGGAGCTGGTGCAGCTGCCAGGGGTTGGGCCCAAAATGGCCCATTTGGCCATGCACATCGCCTGGGACAGCGTGGCTGGGATAGGTAACCTGGACCCTGCTTCTCCCACCCCTCTCCTGAATCCCAATCCATTCCCCAGGCAGAGGGGAAGCACTGCAGCCCCAGCAGCCTGGTAAGATCCCTCTGGGTCAGCAGCTGCAGAGTATCTGGGTGGGGGAACAACGTGACCCTCAGGGAGCTGTAGGATTTGAGCAGCTGCTGTTTCTCCCCAAATCTGATAGCAGAAATTCCCAAGGGAAGTCACAGCTCTGGGGAGCTGGTGCCAGATGGGGCTGGACCATCACCTACAGGTCCTGGCCTGGGGCCCCTGGGGACAGATGAGTGTTCCAAAAGGATGTGCTGCTTGATGGAAGAGCCCTGGGAAAGCCAGGAGGAGCGAGTGGGCGAGAGCTGGATCCTGCAGCCCCTCTGGTGACCATCAGCTGGACAGGCCGTGGCCCCTGCCCTGCATCCAGCAGCCCTTGGGGTCTGTTGTTCTCCTGCTGTGGGGGAGGGAAGTCCAGAGGCAGCCAAAGCAGCCAAGTGCTTTCCAAATAACTGTGTGCTCCGTTTTGATTTGGGAGGCAAGGCTTAGTCTTCCTGTTTACAGCAATTTCCTGGGTTTTGCCCAATTAGCCCCAGAGACAGGTTTATCACTGCTGATCTAACAATAATACACTTTGCATTCAGAGCTTTTGAGCTCAAAGCACATTATAAACACTGCTTTAAGCCTCCCAAGCCCTCTCTGCTGGTGGGTATTATGAAATGTGTTTTCCATGCGGGCAGAGGAAGGGGCAGAGATCACAATTTGCGTAACTCCAGCTGGAACTCCAGGAGGATGAGAACGTGGAGAGAGAACAGGGGCCAGGCCCTGTGCCTGCTCCATGGAGCTGGGCAGCCTTGGAGAGAGGCTGGCCCAGACTGTGTGAGCCTGGGGAGAGACAGACAGACACCCCAAATGCTTTTGGCTGCAAGCCTGGGAAGAAGATGTTTGTTCTTGGAGTGAGCCTCCCCTCGCTGTGCTCCTGTCCCAGCTGGCTGCTCCTGCTGCCCCGGGGGCAGCCTGGCCCTGGGCTGTCACAGGCAGCTGTGGCTCTGCTCTCTCCCACCTAAACTCTGGGCTCTCCCTCCCCAGCTGTGGACACCCACGTGCACAGGATCTCCAACAGGCTCAAGTGGGTGAAGAAGGAGACCAAGAAGCCCGAGGAGACTCGGGTGGCACTGGAGGAGTGGCTGCCCAGGTGAGCCCTGAGCCCCTGCTGGCTGCAGGAGCCATGTCAGCACAAAGCCCTGCTTGGGGCACTTTCAGGGACTGCATTTTGGCTCCTTCCTCCTTCAGGGTCACAGTTTCCCCTCTGCCAGAGCCACAGCAGCAGCATCTTACCTGTGTGGTGGTTCTGCTGCTGTCAGATGGATCAGTCACCACCAGTGGAGCTCTTGATCCCTGATTTTTGCCTTGCCAAGTTTACCATCACCCAAGCCAGGTGCTTTTCCACAGAGGGCCTTGCTGAGCCCAGTGGCCACAGCAGCATCAGCTGGATCCTGGCCTTCACTGGTGGTTAATGTTCAGTATCAAACACCAGCTGGCACTTACAGAGGGACATCTCTGTGCCTGAGCACAGGCATTGCTCCCCCAGCCCTGCAGGACCAGGAAAGGTTGGGAGGGCTGGGACTCACCTCCAGGAGGAACAGGCACAGGGGGAAAGGGATCCCACTAACACCACAGGCTGTTCCTCACCCCTTCCAAGCAGCTTCATGGCATCAGTGCTGTTTGTCCCCTCACTGCAGGGACCTCTGGAAGGAGATAAACTGGCTCCTGGTGGGCTTTGGGCAGCAGACCTGCCTGCCTGTGAACCCTCGCTGCAGCCAGTGCCTCAACCAAGACATCTGCCCAGCTGCCAAGAGACTCTGAGGGATCACCCAGCCTTGGGAGAGCCACAAAGCTGCTTGGGCTGAGCCCTGCTGCAGCTGGGCCTGGCACAGGGCTGGCAGTGTCACTGCAGGGCACAGGAGCCTGCTGCAGCAGCTCGAGGGAGCAGCCCCTGGCAGTGGCTCAGCTCTGCAGAGGAAAAAGGGGCTTGGAGAGGCAGCAATCCTGCTGGGACAGAGCTGAAGGCTCCAGCCTGGGTGAATGGCTGAGCACGGCCCAGCTGTGCCACACTGAGTCACTGCAGAGAAAAGCTTTGTCCTCAGGGAGCTGCTGCTGCTTGTAAATACTTGTTTAATAAAGGTGGTGAGGGCTTTTTGCACCCACGAGCTTTGCTGGCACTTGTGTGGCACTGGCTGAGGGGAGGAGAACGTGGGTGACCTCAGCAAGGCTGAACCAAGGCAACCTGCCCAGCCCTGCCCTGCCACACAACAGGACAAGAGCTGGGCCAGGGGACATCCAGGGTGGACAGCAGGAGGAATTCCTTCATGGAAAAGGTTGTTGAACACTGGCAGGGGCTGTCCAGGGAGGTGCTGGAGCTGCCATCCCTGGAGGTGTCCAGGGAAGGCCTGGACGTGGCACTCAGTGCTCTGGGGATGGGGCACAGGTTGGACTCGATGATCCTGGAGATCTTTTCCAGCCTCGGTGATCCTGGGACTCTGAGGTGCAGCTGAAGCCTTCCCAAGGCAGGAGCAGAGGAATCACTGCCTGCACCAGTGACCTCTGCTCCTGGCAGCAGGACAGGGGTGGGTGATGCACAGCAGGGCCAGGAGCTGAGCCAGTGCCACTCTGTGTGTGCCACAAGGGTTACAGCAGCCACGGGAGCCAGGCTGTGTCCCCAGGAGCTGACAGAGGCACAGCACCACCCCTGTGTTTTGTTCTTCAAAGAAAGGGCAGTGCTGACTTCATTGTGGAGCTTCAAAGGCGTAATTCCAGCTCGCCTTTAAAGAGGAAGCAGAGTTTACAATGTGCTACAGGGCTGCAGTTCCGCTCTGGGCTCCCTGAGCAGCTGAGGAAGGAGCAGATAAGTGCTGGGTACATGGCAAACCAAGTTTATTACTGACATTACAGTGTACATGGTGGGTTTGCAGTGCTGCTGCCAGCCTTAGACTTTATTGATTTTTCCTTTCCAAGTTAAATGTACAGGAACTGAGTAATTACTACTGAGCTACAACAAGATGTCAGGAATGCAGTAATGCTTCAACCAGGAGCAGTTTCCTTGGACTAACAGATTAAGATTTGCAATCTTACCAACACAGATTTGCACACCTGATTTCTTTTGATCTACATTCAACACTACACAAGGTTTGTTTTTTTTTCCTTTCCCCCCCTCAACTCCAGCAGTCTGGGATGAGAAATGGGGTGTTGACACCAGGTCTGTGCTCTCTGAAGTGCACCAGGGGCTGCTCTGCCCCACAGCCTGGGCACTGCCAGGGTTTGGCCACGCGGGCACGGGAAGCAACGTGCACAGCATGGAAAAGAAGGGCTCCTTCCAAACACAACCCAGAGAGAGAAAACAGTATTTTTGGGGGCCAAAAAGAGAGCAGGTAGCTTGAAGTGGGATGGGAAAGAGGTGTCTTGTTAATGGCAGAGCCCCAAGGGGAGGCAGCCTCTCCACATCCTCCATCACCCCAATGTCCTGTCTCACCACCCACAGCCAAACACCTGCACCAGTTCCTCTCCAAAGTCATTATTTTCGACCTGTTCAGCCCATCAACAATCCTAAAAGATAACTTTCATAAAGAGAACTCATCTCCTTCACCCCTGAGGCTCTCCACACTCTCCTGCCAGCAGCGTAAGGCCACAGGCACCAGCTGGAGCCAAACACCCTGTGCTGAGCCCCAGCCCGCTGCTGAGGAGAGCAGAGGGTGGCATAAGGCACCTTTTAGCTCCACAGTTTGGAAATACCTTAGGAAATCCGTGCAGAGCCATTCCCACGTGCACAGCACACTGCCCAGCCAAGGGCTCCATCCCAGAAGGGCTGGAGTGGGGCAGGGCACAGCCACAGCTCTGTGCTCACCCCTCATCCACGGCCAGCTGATGGCTGGGAGAAGTGGCTTTGTGCCCCCAGTCCCTTCCCACAGCAGGGCTGGGATGGCTGCTGGGGCGTGGGAGGGAGTGGGGAGCCCCAGCCCCTGCCCTGGCAGCTCAGCTCTGCTCCCTGCGAGTGCTGCAGCTCGGCTGAGTCACCTTCACCCACAGCCAGAGGCAGCAACAGAGAACTTCAATGGACTTCATCTGTAGTGCTTCAAAGAGACACTCTGAATGCCCACAGTGGGGCTGTGGAGGAGGCCAGAGGTGCTGCCCACTCCTTCACACCCCTGCCTGCTCCACCTGCAGCCCCAGGGACACCCCATGGCTCCGGAGGATGTCCTTCACACGGTGCCACTCCCGGGCTGGGGACACCAAACCCAGCCCAGGTGGGAGCTGGACAGGCCCCACTCCCCAGTGCTGAGCCTCAGTTAGAGCTGCATGCCTGTGCTCCCTCCTGGAAGCAGATGTTGGCTCATCCCCACTTCCAGGTGTGTCCAAAGGGGTTTTGTAGCATCTCGTGGGTCTCACCTTCGTGCTCCGTGGGGCAGGACTGGCCCTGCTCCTCCTTCCCCTGCCACATCCACGGCTGCAGGTGGGGAGAGCTGTGGCCTTTGGGTCTGGGGTTTGCTTTTAAACCCCACCCTCTCCCCTCTGCAGAGCTGGGGTGAAAAATGGGCTTTTACTGCCTGGGCAGGAGCTGCTGGTGAGGGGGAGGTTCCTAAACTAACTGGAAACACATGGGACTTCATTAAAAAAAACAAAAAAAAACCAACAAAACAAACGTTTTTGCTTCAATAGCAAAGCCAACGAACAATTTCCAGCCACAGTCCATTTTCCCATGGTGGGAGCAGCTAATGCTGGGCACGGGGAGCTGGGGAGGGGGTCCCTGGCACCCCCACCACGAGCTGTGAGATGTTTCCACAGGGGCACAGAGCATCCCACGGGGCTCAGTCTGGGACACCCACAAAGCCAAAACACCCCACATAAAAAGTAAAAAAGAAGTAACAGAAGCCTAAATGCTGCAGGTAAGAAACAAGAGTTAAAACCCTTCCAGTCCTTTCTCATGGGAACGGGGACAGCAGCCAGAGCCAGGCTCGAGAGCAAGCAAGAAAAGGAGCTTTGGTCACATTTTTCTTATGAGAATCGCTGGTGGGTAACAATAATAATAATAATAATAATAACAACAACAATAATAATAAAAAATAAAAATAAAAAGGACTTTAAAATACGCCTCGTAAAAGCAACCAGTGAAGAGCAGAGCACAAAGCATCTCACGTGGACACCGAGGGACAGGGTGTAGGCACCTCAGAAACGTCCGGGCTGGGCGGGAGGGGAGCGGCCAGCGGGGCTCAGAAATTGCTGAAAATCTCCCGTTTCTTGTTCCAGTCCATCTGGGGCGCTCTCTTCTTCACACGCTTGGCCCTCACCTTCTCCTTGGCCTCGGCAGCCGTGGGGCTCAGGCTCAGCCCGCTCTCCTCAAACGGGTCCTTCTTGTCCGTGTCACCGTCCTGGGGGAAGGGACCAAGCTGCCAGCACTGCCACAGCCCTGCCACAGCCCTGCCACAGCCCTCAGGGCATCCCCGAGGCTGGAAACCCCTGGATCACCAGCTGTGCCCCATGCCCACCTCGTCACCAGCCCAGAGCCACAGCCAGGTGTTCCTCTGGGGACTCCAGCACCTCCCCGGGCACCCCCAGTGCCTACAACCCCTGCCAGGAAGGATTTCCTCCACCCTTCACAACAAACAAACGCCCTGGGATGTTTTTTTAGCTCAAAGCCCCTTCCCCGTGCCGTGCCCGTGGTTTCACTGGCAGCAGCACCCGTGTGGCCGTGGAGTTGATTGCAACACCGCGTTTTGAGGGGGTGCTGCTCCTGCCTGAAGCTGGAAGGGGAAAAGCAGGACCACAGGAGGTGCTGCCCAGTCAGGTGTGGGTGAACACACATCTCTGGCTTTAGGGAAACACTGCAGAGCTGTCCTGCTGGCACTGCTGCCCCAGCAGCATGCCCAGCTCTGGGGCAGAGTGCACAGACCCTGCTGATGACCCTGGGCAGGGCTTTCCACCAGCACTGACACAACAGTGCCAGCCTTGCTGGGCTGAACCGAACCAAACTGAGCCACACTGAGCCCAGGAAATCCCCACATCCCGAGGGACTTTGCCTTCTTGCCAGG